AAGCAGAACTGGAGACATCATAGAGGGTACTATTTGGAATAATTATTTATTATTTTTTCACTTTTTCCTTTTTCTCTAGTTGTCTCCAAAGTATCACTATGCAAAAATTATATTGAAAATCTATGGAAATTTTTAAGCCACCAAATAAATCTTTGCTAATTGAAGTATGTAATGTACATGAAGTCAATAACATAAGCATGTTAAAACTATTGAAATTGTATTAAATATTCTGCAACCTACAGCCTTAATAACCTATTGATTTGCTTTAAGCTATAAATATTGATTAATGTTCTTTAGTTCTGCTTTGCACTTTTTCTCTATAGAGTTTCCACACAGTGGTGTGGAAGACTCAGCAGAAGTGTTTAAACATGAAGACTCAGCAGAAATGTTTAAACTGTTTTAAACTAAAGGATTTGTTCTGCCTTTTCGTAATTATGCATGGGTATCCTAACTTTATTCTCATCAATCTCTTGTACTGCAGTCATGTGTTGAATTCAGATCATAAAGGTTTTGAATTACAAATTAAATTCCAGGATTTAAACAAATGTTTTTAATGTGTTTAAATGTGTTGAGTCTCCAAGGTGTATTTTACAGGATTATAGATGAATGGAAAACTAGATAGGTTAAAATTCGTTGTGTGGTTGGGCTTGGAGGGTTGTGGTTAATGGCTTGGACTCAGACTGTGACTCAAAGTACAGTATTGCAGGGGCCTATCCTGGGACCTGTCCTTTTTAACTTCCTTATCAATGACCCACAAAGAGGTGATGGCGCATGCTCTCATCAAGTTTGCAGATGACACCAAATTGGGGGGGACCAGATAATAGGCTCAATGGTAGAGCTGCCACCCAGAGGGCCCCAGGCAGGCTGGGGGAACTGACCAACAGGAACCTTATGAAGTTCAATAAGAGCAAATGCAAAGCCCTGCACCTGCAAAGGGAGAGCAAGATAGGCCAGGTACTGCCAGGTTGGGGAGCAGCTCTGTGGAGACGGCCATGGGGCAGTGAGCTGGGCAGAAGCTGGCCATGGGCCTTGGCAGCAAAGGCAGGCAACAGCGTCTGGGGCTGTGTGAACAGAAGCGCAGCTGGTGGCGCAAAGGAAGGGGTCATCCCTCTCTTCTCGCCACTTGCTACATCACAGATAGACCCTACATCCAGTTGTGGGCCCCCAGGACAAGACAGATATTAATAACCTGGAAGGACTTAAGCACAGGGCTGCCAAGATGCTTGGGAGCTGGAGCACTTGCCATATGAGGAGATGCTGAGGGTCCAGGGTTTGCTCAGTTGGAGAAGAGGTGGCTTCAGGGAGACCCAGCAGCAGTCCCCAGTTCCTGTGGGGAGGGCAACAAGAAGAGGGAGCCACACTCTTCACGGTGCTGCTTGGTGGGAGAACGCAAGGCAACAGGCATAAGCTGAAGAAAGAGAGAATCAGAATGGATATAAGGAATAAATTTTTCACAGTATGGACAGCCAAGCACTGGAGTAGGTTGTTCAGAGGGGCTGTGCTGTCTTCATGCTTGGAGGTTTTCAAGACCCAACTGAATAAAGACCTGAGCAACCCTGATCTGACTTCATATCTGACCCTGCTTTGAGCCGGAAGTTGAGCTGGAGAACTCCAGAGATCCCTTCCAACCTGAATTATGCATGAATCTGTGGAATTCTATCCATATTTAGTAGGCTGTAATGTGAATTTTCACAGATTGCGTGCATTTTATGCTTTTCTATTTTTAAAACAAGCATCAGGTATTGTCAGTGCATTTTATCTCTTTGCACAAGTTAAAGTCAGTATAGCATAATTACCATAATGATGTACATGACCTTAACATAGGTAGGAAGCCCTAACTCATTAAGTTCACCTAATATGGAAACGGTGGCATGCTTTCACAGAATGTGGGTTAGTTCATCTGATTGATTTTTATGTTTTCTACCACAGCTTCCTGTAGACTGCCAAGGCAAATGCCACATCTTAGTCCTTACTTCAATGTGTTCAAAGATAAGAAACAATGTTTTCTACAAGACTTGAAGTCTGGGACCTAGGAACTGTGTTTGACACACAAACGCAACTGCCTATGACAGTGAATTGGGAATTCTATACTGAGGACAGGAGGTCTTTAATGGCTTTTTCAATGAATGAACTTTTCTGAGAATGAAGAGTTACTGCAAATTCTACTACCTTTGGCTCAGAGTACAAAGCGTGTACTCCAGCATTCCCTCACTAATTGGATAGGACAGTAAATAACACTGTGTAGGAAGTTTAAAAAACCAAACAAACAAAACCAACAAAAAACCCCAAACCCTCTTAAGTATCCAAACACTTTTCTCCCCAGGGTGAGCATGAGTAAATAAGAGAGTGTATGAACTATGGTAGTTTCCTTATTGCACAATAGAAACGTATTCAAATAGTTGAGTGACTGGTGGAAGATAAAAGCCCAGGTAAAAATGATATTGAAAATATCTGTAGTGCTCTAATTATGTTTACATATTCACCTGTAGCCGTAATATTAATTCTGCAAACATGCAGTCTGAAAAATATGTTAAGAAAAAAACATGTCAGCGTGTCAGGTACAAAGGTGAAATCCACTGTGGAATCACGAGATAAAATGGTGTAACTGCTCTAAATTTTTATTTTAATCTTATTTCTGCTATCTGTTGCTCTTTTTTATCACCTATGCTGTATTTTTAGAACACATCTTAAGGTAGTTTTTCCATTACTATTATTTATATAGGTGTTTATAATAATATTTCTGTATAATAAATATTGTAAATAGTAATTTTATGTTAACACAGTTTATGCAGAGTGAGGGAAATACACAGAGCAATACACAGGTGTTCTTTGTTGTCTTTTACTGTGGTGGGGAACAGTAGCACATAAACCTGCAACGTTGACAGTGGCACCAAATTATAGTAGGGAGTCTAAATCGCCATTTTTTTCCATTTACCTGCCTTGAAGAGAGCTATCAAGGGAAGACACCTTAAGAAATTAATTAAACATGATATTGCACAACTCTAGCTGAAGTACTGAAGCTAGTGCTTCAGTGAACCTAGTTCAGTGCTTTGACCTAAAAAGGTGATTCACACGTATCCTTGGAACTATCTAAAGCAGGAAGAAAAGAGTTAACTTATTTTGAGGGTAGGAATACTTGAGAAGCAGTTGAGATAGCAAGGAATGATTGTAATGTGAACAATAATTTTTCCCAACAGTATTTTTGAGATAGTTTCAAGAGTCTTGATACAACCCTCCTAGGCTGTTGTAGTAATATTTTCCTCTATAAAGTATCTTGTGTGGCCTTTATAATTTTAAGATATTACTGTCATTTTTTGGTATATCTATCCTTGATTTTAACCATTAGTGCAAAACCAGTATATGCTTACTAAGAACAGGTATTGTGAGCTAAAATGCCATGGCTGTACTTCTCTAATATTCGTATTTTCTGTACTTCTCTAATATTCATATTTTAAAATTCTAGCTGTATTAGACACTAACAAAAATCAATGAAGACCAACCAAGACTGACAAGCCAACTAACCAAAGTGAAAAGTCTCTTTGTCACCACAAAACCTGAAAAGGAGAAACAAGCAAATGTCTTCTGTAGAATTTAATTTGCTATCCATATTGCTCCCATAGCTGCTCTTCCTTTATTGCCTATGAAGGATAGAGTCATTCTCCACACCAGCATCGACCTCCTCAAGGACCAAATATATTCTGCTATGTGAATGTTGCATCAGAAAACAGGTTTTTAAACAAAAAGGGGGAGGAGGGAGAGGGTGGAGGGGTAGGTGATCTGCTCAGTACAATTCCATTCCACCTGACAGACTGCAGAATTTACAGAGCAGAGATGGGAAATCAGGTTTTTATTAGGGAATATAATGCTGGCTTGAAATATTTAAGATCTTCAGAGGTGACAGAGAATCAGCTTATGAAACCTGAAATTGTCTTCTGTTTTGGTAGGATTTGCTTTACTCTCGTTTCTCTCCTTTTGCTAGCATAGTCAGCAGACTTTTTTTCCAACCAAAAAGCAGACATCTCAGATAAATGCTGACAGTATGAATGCTGAAAAGGGCATCTCTGTTCCGTAAGTTTACATTGGAATCATGGAAGTGCAGTGGAACAGGAATGAAACATGAGAACAGTTGCGAAGCAGGGTTTTTTTGGGTGTTTTGTGTTGGGTTTTTTCTTGTGAAAATATGAGATTCTGGGACTGAGGTTCCTATTACAAGAAAACAGGAGTGGGAGAAAAAAATGGTTTGCACATATCCAGAGCTTTCAACCTCCTAGTATGCTGTTGTTGCAAATGACATTGTATATTGCCCATAGCCAGAGAAACAAAAAATGAGGAGAGATTGCACATTGGCATCACAGGATTCCGCATCTCATTCAGAATATCTTCTGTATTTTCAACGGCATGCTAAGTGAATCTTTTAAAGGACTACTATTTCACTTGCATCATTTCTGCACCCTTTATAGATGGAACTAATGAAGTAGGGTCACTTTTCAGATCAAAATAAAGCAAACTTATCAGAACTGAGTGACCAAGAGCCTGGTGAGTGCTGTCAAGACACACAGAAGTATGGCACAGAAGAAACCTTGCCTTTACTTATTCTTTCCGCTTCCCTCTGCGTGCCTTTTGAGTGTGCGTGGGCAAGAAAGCAGTGATATGCATGGGTACTTCCAGTCGATTTTATTTTTATTGATTCTTTGGCTGAAGAGAAGTTCCTGTGTCATTCTGAGATACAAGGCCACAAGTGACAATTCTGTTGATCACAGCTAGCATCTTTTAAGAAGACCTTGAATAAAAAAAAAAAAGCATGTGTCCTTTATTAGGTATTCTGAATAATAAGTTGTTCTTGCATTGGATCTAGAGTTTGTGAGACTGCAGAAATTGCATAGTGCATTGTTCTGCTGATTTTTTTAATAGAATATTTTCTCATATTGTGACTGAATTTCCTATATGGTTTGTAGAGATATGCATGAAAACTTTCATTTGTGTTTGTGTTTTAATTACAGGTGCTGTTCTTATGTGGGTCGAAGGGGAAATGGTCCTCAGGCTATATCTATTGGCAAGAACTGTGATAAATTTGGTATAGTTGTACATGAGTTGGGTCATGTGATAGGTTTTTGGCACGAACATACACGACCAGACCGTGATGACCATGTCACCATCATTAGAGAAAACATCCAGCCTGGTGAGATATTCTGATAAGTATTTTGGAAAAAAAAAAAAAAATCTGTTTATTTTTGGTGTTTCTTTCATCTGCTCAACTCTTTAAAACTGAATGCTGAATAGCAGAAATGAACTGAATAGCAGAAATGAGCATTTATGCCTGCTATTCCTCTTAGCTAGACTGATCTCAAGCTGATTCACAAATGAAATACTGTAACTAAAATATAATATTTTCTAAAGATCTGGCCAAGTAGCAAGCCATTAAATAGTATTGGCTAGGAGAGAAATAGTAATCATGCTCAAAAATTTTGAGGGAAGCCATTGCTCCTAAAGCCCTTTAAAAGTCATGTTTCTGTGCTTGAGAAAGGGCTTTTCTTTCATATTCTTTACTGAATGATAAGTAGAAATATGTCAATAGCTTTTTAGCTGCCCAAGAGGTTTAGAGCTGGAAAAGCTCAGGACTTTGAATCTGTGACAAAGATGGGCACTGTTCCCATAGTTTCCGAATTACTGGTTCCCTACAGAGCTTGCAGCTTTAGCCAGTGGCCTTGGTGTTGTTGAGACAAAGCATCTGAGGAACCTGAGAACTTTCAGTTGTGACTGTTATCTCTTTGTCAGTCTAGCTGTTGTGTCCACGCTTGTGTCGTGTGGGCAAGATGGGAGGGAACTAGGCATGTTTCATTTCCAACGTTCATAAATGTGCATGGTCTTTGTGAAACACTGATTTTGACTTACGGGAATTCTCTGCTCAAGAAGGGGTGAAGTCAGAAATTGTCCAATGATAGGTTGGAGTATTTGTCTGTTCCTGTAGAAAATGTTTTAAAACAAAATAGATTTGAGATGCAATAAAATGTTGCCACCTCAACTAGGACTTGAAAGACGACTGGCAGCTGATACACACTCTCACAAGTCTCCGAAGTCCTGAAAGGGCATGTGCATCCAAGCCTTCCTTCTGTTCTCTCTGCGTCACTGAGTTTTGTAGATGCCACAAGTGCTCTTCCCCTATGCTTTTTCTGCAATGGGGAAAATCAGCTGGGAGTGCCATGCTCAGCCTCCTGTGCTCTCTCCTTTCAGTTGTCTCTCTAGTTTCTGGCTGAAACAACTTCTTGTGGTGTGGCATGAGCTTGAGGACCACTAAATGGAATCAGGAAGTCATGACCACCAAGACATTTGGGTTTTGTTATATTATGCAAATTATGTTGGTTCATAATGTTAATGCCACTGCAGTATTTTTTTGCAAGATACCAATGGGAGTATGAGTTGGAGTAAGGGATGCTTTGCATCTCTTAATACACTGCTTAGGACAAAGAACTTCTGGTCTGGAATTATGAACTAAGTATAATTCTTTTGTTCCTCTTCTGCTTTCGTTAAGTTGCAACAGCTGGCTCTTGCAAATGTGACTTTGTAGTGTTTGCATTATATGGGGGCTCAGTCTAATGAGTCTACAATGAAGAGGGTTCTTCTGGGGTCTTTGCAGTCAAAATGATTTCCTTCTGGAATTAAGAACCAAGCGAGCAAATTTTATGGGTTCTACATGAAGCGCAACATAATGTGTGGGACCTTTATGTGGGTTAGGTGAATGAGAACAGTCTTTCTAAATGCCAAAGATAGGAATTTGATGTGTGTTTCAGAAGATGTCTGCTCTCTTGGTTAATAAAAGCACACAGTTACTCCCAAATGGCTAAGATTTATGAATGTCAGTGAGTAATTAGGTGAGGATCTTTGTTGTTTTTCTTTTCCTGTTTGGTTTTTATCTTCACAAAAATAGATACTAAAGAAACTCTAATTAACAATAATTCGTAGGTCAGGAATACAACTTCTTGAAGATGGAGCCTGGAGAGGTGAACTCCCTTGGGGAACCATACGACTTTGACAGCATTATGCACTATGCCAGGAACACCTTCTCAAGGTTGGAGTCTCAGGTTATACCTTTTGACTTTTAATTCTATTCCTCTCTGTGAATGCTGAGAACTATGCTTTTTTAAGTATTCTGAAATCACTTAAAATATCCCTTGCAATATAGTATTCTTACAGCAGTCAAAACACATCTTGTTTATTTTAAGTCAGAATAATGTAATTATATTTTTAAACACATTTTGTTTCTGTTCAGTTTCAAAGCAGCCTTTTGATCTTCCTTCAGTTCTTTAGATTTTAAGACAAGATAATCTGGAAACATCATTTCATAATACTCACTTTCTTTTTGTCTCCACAAAAATTTGGATTTAGAAAAATGAAATGAGTGAAATGCTTAGGAACTTTGTGTAACATAACTTGTTCTCTTAAAGAGAAATCTCCTTTGATGCGTAACGTCTGAGTAACTATGGATTATGCGAGTAGAACACGTTATGGTATTAGGACATCTACCATGCAAGCCATAGCCTTTGCTAAGGACTGCAGTCAACCATTCATAACAGAGGCTTCAGCCTCTTCTATATTGTCTGTACAGATTGTTACTGTCATCAAAACCATATAATAAAGAATTCTCCTGGTTTTGCTCTGGCCTGTTTTAGGCTGATCCATTCCCAACTCCATACTAACTCACGTGTGGCTTGCTCTGAAACCCTGCATGGTTGTGGGGAGCTGTACAATGAGCTGTTCCCCTAGGCTAGCTGTAGTCTGGAGAACAAGCAAAGCAGAAGTCTTTTCACCTGGTCTCCCATTATATCTCATAGCAAGTCACAGTCTAGCTAATTACTCTCTAAAAATACCAGAGTAATGTAAATTAAAAAAAAGCTTAAAAAAAACCCCAACAAAAAATGTTTGAAAAGTGGTGTGGCAGAAATACTAGACAATCTGAGACTCTGAAATAAACTGAAGACCACCAGAAATCTCACCAGCCTTTGCATGTGTCTTAAGTTTGTTCTCTCCAATATAAATGATATTTTTAAAAATAAACAAACAAACAAAAAACAACCCCCCCCCCCAAAAAACAAAACCAACAACCCAACAAAAAGCCTACCAAATAATGTATTCAGCATACACATAATTCACCGTTGGAAGAGCATGGGAATGAGCCACATGAGGTAGTTATTAGTCATATCACTTAATCCAGTTACAGATAGATTACCATAAGGAAGAGATTATAAGAACCTATATAAAATAGAGTAATTTAACAAGCTGGAACCCCCCAGACTCCTAGGGCAATGACAACATCAAGATAATTTGATTTGTGGGCCCTGATCTCACCACTTTCCAAGCTGGCAAAAACTGATAGTACCATGAGTAGGCATGCCCTGCCCCAAGGTACAAGAGGTTGTTACTTCATACTGTTTAAAAAAAAAAAAAAAAGCAAACCCTTGATGTCGTGTATTGATTTGCACTGATTTATCTTGAAAGCATGAGTTGTGCTCAGTGTGGAATATTGCCAGCTGTTTGTTATTAGACTTTACTCACCCGGACAAGTAGTAGAAATCACAAAGTTCTAGTCACACACAGTAATGATGTTCATGCTGTATTAAAACTGCTACAGATTGTTCCCTTATTAAAGTGCTAATACATTTAAGAGAGGATTGTTTTCGTATTTTTCAAAATACGAATAGCATCAGTTTCAGGTTGTAGTAAAAATAAGTGGAAAATAAAATTATAATTTATAGATACAAACACTTTTTTGAAATAATAATGTGCCTTATTTCTAGAAACTGAATAATGCCATAAGTAGTTTATTTCACTGCTTAGATTAGGGTAACATCCTGAGATGATTCTTTTTTTTGCAATTTTCTAGTGATGCCACAAGAAATCTGCCTGGGTAAAGAGAGCAGTATGTACCTGTAATACTCAAAATGGTTAATTTATTATAATTTGAAAACCAATCAGTATTCCTAACTACAAAGATTGTTACTATTCATTCATTTTTGGACCTACATTATGCCTGAAAATATCAGTTTTACTTTTCAATAAAAGCCCCATAAGTATACAAGAGAATATAAAAAAATTAAACAAGAGAATACAGAAACATATTCATCTGTTAACTTCCATTTTATGGGATTTCAGGGATTTTCAAATTCTGTAACACGATAATAGAACTTAGTTTTGTACCTTACTCTTTTAAAATTTATTTGAGAATACCAAAATATTTTGGATCATACTTAAAATTTGGGAAATTTTGAATAAAACTGCACTTTGGAACAAGTGTGCTTCTCTATTACACCAAGTCATTTAGGGTAAATGTTTTGAAATCACATATGGTAAGTTGATATTTTATTGTAAAGCAAGCAGAGGCTGGCAAGTAAGCATTTATGTTTCAAAAGCAGCAGCGGCTACAGTAGAGTCAGATCTGTTACAACACCTGACAGAAGAATGATTGGCAAGTGTGCCTGACTTTACCTGCTCTTACATGTGTAAGTTAGACTTTAAGACTTCCCTTAAAAACTTTGTTAGAAATAGGAACTTTGTGATTAAGAATTTTATGATAGGTCTTAATTTATGTATTTTTATATAATTTTATTTTTTTTTTTTCAATGTAGTAAGACCTTAACAGCAGTGCCTTTTTCCTGTGTAGTCTTAATAGTAGTAAGAGATTTCCCTCCTGTTGTTTAACAGGGATATAAAAGCTGATGTTAATTGATGTACTGAAAGAAGATTCTTTTTTGATAACTTTGCATAGAGTTTGCCAACCTGAGAAATTTTTATGACATGTTTTCTGTATTTAAAGTTCTGCATTTTACCCTCTTATTTATGCCAAATGTAAATTCTAGATTTACAAGATAGTATTATACATTCATAAAACTCAGACAGTTTTATGACAGAAACCTGATAGGGTTTTTTGGGGTCTATTTTTATTTTTATTTTTTTTAGGGGCATGTTTCTGGATACCATTCTCCCTTCCCGTGATGATAATGGTATACGACCTGCCATTGGCCAACGTACTCGTCTAAGTAAAGGAGATATTGCACAGGCAAGAAAGCTGTATAGATGTCCAGGTATTGCACCACAAACAAACAAAAACCACGTGCTAGCAACTGTGTGACTCGTTGTTCAAGAGGAATGATAAATTTTTTGAGTCAGCTGCTCAGTAGTCTGTTTCCATGTTGGCAACTGACGTAGGCAGTTCAAGAATTGAATCATAAAACAATCTTATAGGTAAGGTCTTTGGAATGCAAAGCACTTAAGGACAGATAAACTGTATGAAACAACACTTAGTTTCATGTCATTTCAGTCTTTGTTTTCCTTAGCTGTTCAATGATGAGGAAAAAAAAGATGTTTAATATCACTTGTGGTTTGCCTGTTGACTGGAGTCCTTTTTTATTTTAATTCAAGTAGAGTGCAGAAGGAGCAAATTAAATTATTGTAATCAGCTCTGAACACATTATATTTTTTGAAAATTTGACAAATAACAAGCCAGGACAACTAAGTTGTAAACTTTTTTATGGCTGAACTGGTTAGATCTTATTACAAACTTTATACAGTTGTAACAGTTACATTTAGTATTTGAATATCTTCTGCCTAATTCTAGCATCCTATAATTTCAATGCACATTAGTGGTTTATCTCAAAATAGCATTGGGGTAGAGTTGCTGTCTGTCTCAGAGGCACGAGTAGCAAGTCTGGAGTAACCCAGAGTCAACTCTGGTTGCTCTCTTGTGCTAGTTCTTCTCTAAGTGCTGGCAGAGTGGTGGAAATCTCAAAGCAACAGGTTTTACTTTCCTTGCTCTAGCTACAGCTGAGACCAATTTTAACCTTTGGTGTAAACTGAAGCAGTTCAGAGGTGCCATCTCTCAGTCAGAATTTGCCAGCAAGGTCCTTGTGGCAGACTAGACATACCAGCTCTGTGCCACTTAAGTTTTACAGCCCTCCTGCTCCTCATGGGAATTAATGCAGCTTCAGTAACTGTTTTAAGTCAGATATGTGGCTACTTTTTACTACTTGGTCAATACAGAAGGACTAAAAAGAGGGATCAGGACTGAAGTGATGGAGCTGCTTCAGATTTGTATCAGCAGCAGTGGGATCTACTGAAGATCTGGGGCATCTGATGTGCATTTGATGTACATCGTACAGCTGAACTATGCTTTTCCTTTCTGCTGTAAGTACACTGAATCATAATCTCCTATATATCCTGAGAAACATGCACAGTGTTTCTGGGCCTACCAGAGGAGAAACCACTTTAACATACTTTCTTTAACAACTGCTCCTTTTGGAATAATTTTTGCTCTTTCCTTTTGGTATAGAAAGTACTTGAATAATGTCATTCTTCTTGGCAGCGTTATTTCTAATAGAAGTATACAGAGAGCAACAATTTCATAAACACAGAGAATACGTATCTATTTTAATAAAAGACAAATTTTGGAGACAGAAATAGTCTATAGAATCAAATAATCTGTGAAAGTAGCTAGTATCTTATGATCACATCGATTTAAGAAAGAAAAAAAACCACCTCAGCCTAGGCTGTTTAGTGTATGTATAATAATCTAACATGCACTTTCAGTCAACTGAAAAAGACGCAATGTGCTTTTTGAGCTAATGTTCAAATAGATGTTCAGAGAAAATGTCCTTTTCATATAAATCATGAAAATGTGTAATGATAAGTTATCATTTCTTTCAATGTCTGAAAGTCTTGCTGAAATTTAGTTTCACAGTATTGTAAAACCATGGCTGTTCAGCAGTAGTGTGTAAGTTATTTTTTGCAGCACCGGTGAACACACTTCAGAGGGATAATAAAAATGAACTGTGGTTGCAGGATCATGCTCCTTTTCTGGCGCTTCGCTTCAGCAAACTTTGGGATAAAAGACGTTGGTTTTTTAGCCTTGCTTAGATGAGCCAGTCCATAAAAAAAAGTGAGTTTTGAGAGCGAGAAAAAGGCAGAAGGTTTTGCTACAAATTTTAAATAGCATGTTATTTAACATGCTATTTTTTTCAGTTAATATTTTTAACAGAAGCTGCATAACTGAATAACACAGCACAAACTTAAACATCCAATAAAGCAAGCAACTCTCTGAAAGTTGCATGGTACTTGTGATCTAATAAATTTTCCAGCAAATAGTGAGACTGAAAATTCAGACATTAAGCTTTTGGTGTTATGAAAAAAATCATGTGATCATTGTAGTACACAGCAATAAAATCCCTGACACTGTGTTGTTTTTGGAGGTGTGCTGTATTTCCTATTTCAGATAAAAGATGTTAATCATGATGTCTGCTTATGATAAAATAGCTGTGAATGTTTCAAACATGAATAACATCTGCATTATTTTGTGTGTTCATTTGTGTTGCCTTAAATGGGATACAATGAAAATACAGAAAACAGTAACTTAAATAAATCAGTATTTTCCAGAGATGCACGCTTCTTTGATAACGGATTTTCTGGTATTGTGCATGTTTCGTTTGGTGTTCTAGTTATTCCTGCAAGCAGTTTCTGGTCCAAGAAGCCTGCTGCGTTTTCTGGGGCCCGTGAACATGAAGTTGAGCTCAGGGCTGCTGGAGAATACAGCTGATCCTCACAGCAGTGAGGCAGCTGAGCTTCCCGGGTTGTTTTAGCTAGTTGGGATATTCAGGGTCATTATTCAGGAAAGGACTTAGTGACCGAGAAACAGTTTTGAGCCTGGTGAAGCCAAGGCATGAGATTTGATAACCTGTCTTTCATCAGCTGAGTAAGTGCCAGGACTCAGGGCTCCCAGTAACAACCGCAGCAACAGCAATTTTGACTTGTTTTTAACTTTTTGTTAGGACTTTTGTCAAAGGAAAACATAGTTGCTGGTAGGGATCTGTAACATTTTAATACTGAGTGACATTGTTACATGATAGAATAGTAAGGAGAAAGCGAGCAAGTAAATTGAGAGTCCTTCCACTGCAATCTTATTTTGAACTTTGTTTGAGTGTCTTGCCATTTGAGAAACAGATCTTGAACTTCAAGGTTGGGTGTATTACAAGGATTTACAGACTGTCTAACAGAGTAATAAAATATGTTTTCTTCTGGTGTAGCTACTAAAATTTCAACAGGTCTACCTTGATAGTTCTATATAGAAACTGTAGTTGATTTAAAATGTATATGTAGTTTTACAGGAGCAAGAGAATAAGAAAGGAAAATGATGGAGAAGGATACTGTTAGGCAGAAAGAGAGGACAAGAAATAAGTGGGTAGGGTGGGACTGAATAACGGATGGGAAAGGAGGCTCAGACTGGTAGGAGAAGGCTGTTCAGAGGAAAAGAAGGTGGATGGAAGAAGTTCAGCAAATTTCCAAATTGCCAGGTTCTGTGACAGTATGTGTTGAAGGCGGCGGATGAAGGATAGCTAGCCTGGCTCTTTTTTGTGCTGTTCTCACTGTTCTTCACGTTTAACTTGCTCCCATCTCTATTAGATTAGAAAAGAGTGTTCACCTTCAGAAGTCAGCCTTTATTCACTACATAAGGAGGATTAAGGTTTTTAGATTAAGACTGTTTCCCTATAACTATAAAGAGGAATCAAGTCAACAGTAAAACACTGAGTTGTAGTAAACTGATTTAAGTTTTTGGTTTAACAAGCACAATAGCAGCACCAGATATTTTTAGGGCTCTGTGACAGCTATACATGCCATATATGTATAGGTGAGCCTATACATATACTAGACTTGGGTCTAAGTAAAAAGTATTAAAGATCTTAATTCTCTTTGGAAAAGCGTAAGCTTAAATTAGCCATATATGACAGTATGTATTTGCTAGTGCTATGGACAAAGGAAGGAGACTTGGTTCCCTAAGTGTCTTGGAGGATCTGGGCTTTGTCACTTGCAGATTTCACTATAATCCTTAATGGAACTTGACCATGTGCCTAGGACAGCCCCGAGAAGTGTTATACACAGGCTGTGTAACTAAACGCTGCTGCAGAGTTCACTGGTAGCAATTGCTTTGTGTAAGCATATAATCTACCTGCTGCCTGGACCCATTGCTAATCTTCTTTACAAGGAGAAACAAAAATAGTTTCCCTTTCCTTACTACAGAAAAGCTTATCAGAAATTTAACCTTCTCAAGCTGTAAAGCAGACAGGAGATTGGTTTAGTTTTTTTTTTTGTTGGAGAGTGTGTGTGTAGAGCTAAAGTGGCATTTCTGCAAGTGGTCTAGCCTAGTAAAATTTATATAAGGCATGACATTTGAGAGAGGGGAAAAAAGCATCAGAGAAAACATTGGCAGAGTTAATGATTAACAATGGAATAAAAATGTACAAATGCTTTATAAAGCAGAGGTGTATAAGATTGAAGTTGTAATTAATTTTTTCTGACATGAAAAATACTAAGATTAGTTCTTAAAAAATTTAAATAAGTGGCCCTTACCACTCATTTTACTTCTACATTTCTTTCCCAAAGTGGATTCCGTTACTAATGGACTGTCACACGGTAAAATGTTTATAATATACCATTTTATAAGCCTAATCACGAATACTGTAGTTGCCTCAGTTCAATTACAGAGAAAACCCTTACATTCTCTAGTGATAGAATTTTAACTGTTTCAGTTACCGTTGACCGATTGCAGAGAAATATGCTTTTAAACAAGAAATGCCCAAATATCACCCTACCTACAGTGGCTCTGGAAGCCAGCCTGGAACTCAGATCCCATAGATAATTAATTCAACTGTTGATTGGTATAACTGTTCTTGTTACAGTTCCCTTGAGTAACCAGGAATTTTAAATTAAATGGTAAATATGGTGAAAAACATAAAGCCCAAACATATTTTATAAATTCTAATTGTGTTAATTCTTAGTAGAAGTTATCCAATTACAATTTTTTTTAATGTTTTCCTTAAATTCAGAAATATTTATGAAAATTTTGATTTGACAGAGAGCTCCCAGACATATAATGTGGATATAAGTTAAATTGTTGGATTAATAGCTTTATTCTATAATTCCTAGAAAAAGAAAATGTTCCATGGCAGCTTTTCCAACTTAAAATTAATAGTTTTAAGGCTATATACAACTTCTGTGTATGGAGCATGGAGTGTTATTAATATTCTGGAGAAAATAATCCTGCACTCTGCATAAGAGCGAAAAATTCTGTAATGTTTTCAAAACCGTAAAGCTATTATGCTTAATTCATTGATGTGTTAGTTTACTTTTATAACGGGGTAATTTAGGGATTTTAATAGAATAAGGGGTAGATATGCCAGGGTCTTCCTCCTCTCCTCTTACTAATTGCAAGGCTGCATTTGAATTGACATCTTGTATGTCCCACATACTTCATAGCATTTTGTTGGCTTACATGCTTCACATTATGTGGTTATGTGCATTGCATGACTTCATAATCAATATTTGTGAGTTGAAGTTACAGTTAATTGAAAAAATGCAATGTGAGCAGAAAGGATTGGACAAATGGCATTCTCCATCACGTGTATGTCATCTGCTCAAGACTCGCCTAGTAACTGTAGTGTTGGTGAAATCGTTATAGCTAGAGCACACAGAAGATGTTCTAAAGCTTGAAATATAGTTGTATGCCTTGTGAGAGTACACTCATGCAATGTAGTCTCAATGAAGCCCTGCGTGGGGGGAAGAACAAGAGAGGGCTCTAAAAGCGGTGAGCAGAATACTTAGATCCTCACAGATCTCCCGAGTCGTGCGTGCAGCTGCTATGCGGGGCATCTCCTCGCTGGACTCTGCTTTCCTCTACTCCCGTACAAGACTACAATTTTACTCTTGGCCTTCTCTTAGGTGCTTTATGTATACGCTGTAAGCTACGATACAGTTCATTAGCGCTGGGGGAACCCAGTACAGTACCCTGCAATTTATTTAAGTTTGCATTCATCGCTGTGTTAAAAATAAATTGCGGTTAATTATGGATGTAGCATTTTCACTGAAAAGGCTTTGTACAGAAATAATTATTTAGCACTGAATACCTTTTGTGTATGTGTCATTTGCTGTGGCTGCCTGCAATTTTTTGAAGATAAAACCACATTTTTTAAATGAGGGGAGGAAAAGAAATTTTTTTTCCCTGCTTCATTCCTAAAGAACACGGTGACGGTGACTTTAGCCATTAAATTTTTTAGGGGCTGCACCAATCTTTCTCTTCTCTCCTCATCACAAGAACCATTTCAGTGTCAGAGAGCATATTTAATGCCTTGAATGGAGCTTATGCCTGATATTACAGTGTAGTTGTCAGATTACATCTTAGACGCATTTTAACAAGACAGCCTTTACAGCTGTGTTGTCTGTCTTTGTCATAAACAATCTCTTCCTTTGTCCCCTTTTATTTAAAGATTTTCCAGATCATTTATAATTCATTGAGATTTTGATGATACAGTAGTTCACCTGCTGGCAGTGGTAGCACTGTAATTTGAAAGCACTGCAGATCTGATTACACTGTCAGTCATGGGATAATATTCTCAAATTCACATCTCTCGTATCACACCTGCAAAATCAGTGGGTGAAACAACTTGATTAAGGTCAAAAAAGATGACTGACTGAGGTGTGACACCCTACCAGAATCAGTTTTAGTGCTGGAGAATGGCAAGATCTTCCAATGCTATATTTTAGTGTGAAGAGGAATTATTAACCAGTCCGCCAGCAGCTAGTAGCATGATTGACAGGTGAGATATGGGTGCTAAAAGCTTCAATAATAAAGAATATAAAAGCCTTTGGTATTTCAGGACTTTACATTTGCTTTGCTTTATTACTCATATCTCTACAAATCACTGTTGCAAGAGATTTTGTTGAATATAGGATTTAGTTTTCTATAACAATATAAATGAGTGAGTTTAGGTCAGATCAGTCTCTCATGTGGGCAAAGTACTAAATTAAATGAAACCACTGACGAAATTCCAGTGTGGTGCCAATCATGCTGTGCCAGCTTCTGTTTTACTTTTGGTTTAGTTCTTAAAGGATGTGTCTAAGGGTGTGGCTAACTTTTTTTTTTCACTGAAGTAAAATTATATGCATAATTTTGCAGTTGATTGACAGCAATGACATTTTTAAGACTGCTGTAATTTTGATTATGTCAGCAGACAGCACACAAGTGAAAGAGTACGTGGAAGAAAAACATCCTGTGTAAAATGGAATGAATGTCAGACTGGCTTAAAATCATTGTTTTGAATAAATTGTAAAATAACTAGTCTGTTTTCCATTCTGCATCTGCAGTGAGTTAAATGTATTCTGAGTAGATACTGGAAAGATGCATTTTTCTCTGTTAGGCGCATTCAATTTTATATTTTTACTGTACTTTTTTTCTTTCAGCCTGTGGAGAAACACTACAGGAATCTACAGGCAACTTTTCTTCTCCAGGATTTCCAAATGGTTATCCTTCCTACACACACTGCATATGGAGAATCTCTGTGACTCCAGGGGAGAAGGTATTTCAGCATTCCCTCAGCTAAACACAGATAGCATTTTAAAAATAAAATGTTGCGGTTTTTAGCTTTTCATTTAAGTTTAAGCTTGCATAATTATTGAAAACAATGGTATACCATAAAAAATGGGACCATGAACTATGTGCTATTGACTTGACTTTGGTCTGTGGCATTATCTATTTCGTGGCTGTCCATGTGAAATGAAAGCATGATTTCAATCTGCTACATGTTTGCATCATGAAATCGCTTCAAAACTGGCTCCTAATTCAGTTGGTGGTTCGGTGTAAAGGTGGAAGAGGTAGTTCAGGGTCCTGAATGGTCTCATCTCCAGCACGGGCTCGGGCGAGCTGACTGAGCTGCGTGGGACTGGTAGCTGGGCTCTGCCTAAGGAAGCTCTTAGTATGTTGAATGAGATGTTTCTAAAGTGAAACAGTAATAATGTGGGGTAAATAAAGTGTCATTGTAGGTGTTCCTTGGTATCAGTTCTAGTGCATATAGTTTTACTTTCTGGGCATCAATTTTAGGGGAAAAAGTGGGGGAAAAAAAATTGGCGTGGTGAGAGAAGTTTGGGGAGAGAAGTGTGCCATCCTAGTGAAAGCAAAACCTGTTCTTCTTGTGTACCTTTCAAAACATGCTAGCTGAATCTTGTTTTAAATTATTGGCTCAAATATTAGCCTGCCTCAAAACAAATAAGGATAGAGGGAGCGATGGGAAGTTTCACCTGAGACAAAATATGCAGGGGAAAAAAAAAAAGAGATGTAAGTTTCTTTACAAGAAGCAGTGGCTGACATTAAGTAGTCAAATACAGCCTAAAGACTGAAATATAGAACCTAGCGCCAGCCTCAGTAGTGGAGAGTCTAAAGAGGAAAAGCCAGCATTTGCCCCCAGATATTTCAGTCAGTTTTGTCAGCGGTCTCCTGCTCCGTATCAGACATAGTTTTCTCCTGATTGGATTACTTTATTCCATGTTTCTTTCAGGTCAGGGTCCTAGTAGACACCAAGAATGTATGTTCTTGATGTGCTAATAGATCCCGAGGAGCTGTAAGAGAATTTGCCACTGTGGGGGATGAAAGCAGAGACATTTGGAAAGCGTTTACCCTCCTCTGGGCAAGAGCCAGAGACAGGAGGAAAAATAAACATGCTCTGTGCTGGGAGGGCGTGGGTGGCTCTGCAGGTTGGCAGGGGAAAAACAAATGAAAACAGATGAATAAGAGGAGGTTTGCGCAAAAGATGCAAATTAATCTAGATAGGTAATTTTATGTCCCCACTATTTGTGTTGCTTCTTAGACACTGCTGTGATAACAACAAAAGTGGCTTAGGTTTCTTTTCTATTCCTCAGTTAAATTAATTAAAAAATTGTAGTATTCATCTGCAATTATTATTGGCTTTTGAAAACAATATTAATATATGAGTTAGAAAATGGTCATGCTTAAGCATTCATGGCATACTCCAACTTTGTGTAAGTCTATCTGTGGACGTTAGTGTAATTGTAATATATTGGTAATTCCATTATGTCTTGAGATTGTAACCACCACTGGAGCTGTATTACACTGTACAAAAGCTGTACAGGGAAAGCCCCTGTCTTGAAGTCAGCAATGTAAGAAGACCGGCTCCCTTCCCATCTTACCCCCCACCCAAATGGGGAAAAAGACTAAACAGAATTTTCTAATTGAAATTTGATGTGACAGACGTGTCACTGTAGGGCACTGTTCTGACCTCCAGCTCTCATAGTCTCCATATAGTTCAGCAAGAATGAAGTAAATTATATTTGTGCTAATGTCAAAAAGTTTGTTTTGTCAGTGCTATTCCCATAGCATATTGTCTGTCTTGAGATAAAGGACCCTATCTGCAGCAAGTACTTGATGTGAATAGCAGATAGCAGAAATGAGGTCTAAATCTTAACTAATGCATATATCACGGTACCTTGGACACACATTGTGCTTGATCCCAAATTTTCTCAGTAAATGACGATAACATATTCACTTTACAAAGGGAGAATAAATTATATTTAAATTTTTGTTCCTTGGATTGTTGCTTTGACCCTGATAGATTTCAGGAATGTTGTGTGGAGGTTAGAGTACATGTAAGTACATCGCATCATGTTCTGAAATGTCAGTCAGCACTTTAGTCACCTAAAAATAAACTGAAAAAGCATCAGTCCAGATTGTCTAGCTCTTGTGTCTTATTTATTGAGATTTAACATTGTGCTGTTTGAGCATAGTTTAGAGGACTTCTATCCTATCCATGCTGCTTTCTGCAAGTACAAACACTTCAATCTTTGATGGCAGGAAATTCAGTGAAGGACAGGACTGTGGTGGTAAGCACTAGCTGCAGCATTCCTTTTATTGATAGGCATCATGAATTACCAGCCCAACCTAAAATGTGTGCATCCCTATTACTAAAACAAGGCAGTTCATTCACCTTTTACTTTCTCTCAAGATTTAGGACTATATGGTAAGCAGCTGTACTCAGTATATCTATACACAGAAAAATCTCTGAGGGAGAATGGTGTTAGTAATACTGTATGCTCTCTGCCAGGGCGAATCCCGCCTTCTGGTGTGTAGAAATTTTGTTGGCATAGGGAGTTGCAACTGTGCCAGTGGGTTTTTTTAATCCACCTTTTTGAATAGGTTACAGTACTTTCCAATTTCCCTTAATGTTTTACATGAATGATAAAAGAGGAGAGATAAATCCTTGGTTGATATGGGAAAAAATGCCACCTGCAGAAAACTTAGTACTGCCTGGTGTTTGCTATGTATTTTGTGCTTTCTCATCCCAGGCAGTAGGAGGTGTGATATATTCTCTCTGAAGCTGCAGTAGTGTAATTGAATCTGCTGTGTAATCAATAATTCCTTAATTGTGCTGACAAATACCCATTGATTGTTTTTCCTGTGAAGACTTTCAGCCATCCTGTCCCCTTGAACAAGCTCTGCCTTGTCTGTAGCTCTATTTAATACTTTGCAGAACTGCAAATCAGAATCTTAAATATATTTATATTTGTTTGGTTTCCGACCAGAAATCATGCTGTGACAGATTGGGAGTTCTGCCTATGTACAGCTAATGATTCTGGTCAATGTTAAGGAATTGCTGTATCATCAAATACCTTGGCATGTCAGAGTGAGAAAAAGCTGTGAAGGTTATTTCATGTAGTTTCAAAGGTGGGACCACTGAGGAGGCTCATTAAATTTTAATGGTTTCCATTTAGATAGCAGCACTTTGAGACAATGACATGATCACACCTAAGTAAAACCGTCCTTTTCCCAACTCTATCCTGGCAACTAAGGTTTGTAAAAAGGCAAATTTCCAAACAGAAAACAGAGATGTCTGATGTTTCAGCTGTGTCATGGAAAATGGAAAACTTGTGGCTAGACTGGTGAGAGACCTCCAGGCTCTACACAACTGAGCCAATGGAGAAGGTATAGCATGTGGCTGCCATAACTTGCTTCCCACAGGGCCGGCTGGGTTAGCCTAAGCAGCTGTGGAAGGTAGCCTGACCTTAACCCAGCTGCATCTCATCTGGGCAGAGAAAAAGGCTCCCCCTTGTGAACCCTTCTGTCTGCACAGCTGGGGTGAGGTGGGCATGGGTGGAAAAAGATAAGGAGACTGCTGAGGGCAGAAGGGTTTTCAAGTAGTATGGCTAGATACAGAGATACCTACCTATGGTCTGAGAAACTCAGGCAAAAAAGAAGGTAAGGGTTTAAAAGAAATCAGAACTGCAAAGTGGATGAGCTGAAGAGAAGAACAAAAATTTTGTAGTTGGTGAGGCCTCTATTTGAAGGACAAGTTGAAGAAGAAACAGTCTGCAAAGGACAGAGAATTGCTGTGTGAATATACATTGCTGAGAGAATATACAGGATCTCTCTGCCATCCTCAGAGATAGATTCATATAGCACTTGGAAATGTAAGTTTCCTGAAGCAGAGGAAAGTATATGAATGATTGTACTTTTAGCCAGATCTGCATATTTCTCACGGAGAATAACATGGTAAGTAGGTAGTTTTGTAATTCTGATAATATTTATGCATTTATTTCTTCGGTACATGTCCCTGAAGGAGTGCCTGAATAGTAAAGGCAAAATGCCCTGTGGGTTAGACATCTGGGAAAGGGTGCACGTAAGCTAGAAGTCTGAGAGGTGTAGCAGTCTGGAAAAGGGTGCACGAAAGCTACAAGAAGTTTGAGAGGTGTAGCAGTAGGCAAAAGCAAAGACGTGAGTTGTAAGGTTCCCTTTCCGGGAAGGAATGGCATGGGAAGTCTGCGTCTAGGAAATAATACAGGGAAGTTGAAACAGGAGGTGTGGTGCTGCAGTTAGACTAAAAGAAGCATGAGAGCATATGGATGGACACGGCCACAGTAACCTAGTGAATGTCAGCTGAGAGGATCAACAAATGCTTTGATGCACGCCATTTATAGGTAAACAGTGCAATAGTCTGGAAACTGAGTAGTATCTGTCAATTTTCTCAGTAACATTGGAAAGAAAACATTCTTCCTATTTTGCAAAATTAAAAAAAAAAAAAATTCTCCACCAAGGCCCTGGTGAAAAACTGGCAAGGGAAAAATGAGAGCTATCTGAAGAGACATGTAGCGCAATAGTTGGATTGAGGACAGAGGTTGTCTTCAAGATTGTAGTGCTTGCTGTGCCGAGAGTGCATCCAAAGCGTGTGCTGTGCTTACCTGAATCATTCCACTTGTCCCACTGCTGTTGAAATTTGTTCTACTTAACCTGACTAGCCACATCTGAAATGGGAAAGGAGTTGTAAAGTCTAGCTCACAGAACTTGCAGAGATATAGGAAATCTAGAATCAAACCTTGGATGTCTCAAAGTTGGAAGTTCAAATCTTTGGAGTTCAACAGTGAACTGTCTGGAAGATTTGCTTACTGGCTTTCACAAAACAAAAAACCCTCCCAAGAGACACAAGCAACACTCCGTCCTCTCCACCCCCACTCAATTCCCTACCTGCTCTAGCTTTAAAAGCACTGATTTGGTGTATTTTATGTATAAGAGCTCTTTATTGTTCCAATTCACCAAATGATTAAATGGGTGAGCATTTCATTATCTTTTTAAATTCCATGCTTAGGAACACATCCCCTAGCTACATAATACAAGATATTAATTGAAACTGTTTTTTTCATTAGGGCTTAATTTGCTTTGTTTTTCAAGGTTCAGGGAAAAGGTATCAGTATTGAAAAATAGTTCAAGATATTAGAATATCTATTACTGCAAACCTTTCAGTATAAGAAACATGTTTTCCTTAAATTCATTTCTACTGTAATTTCTATTGCAACAAAGGGAAGGGATTGCACAGCAATTGTATCTGATTTCAGATTAGTCCATTTTCATCTCTGAGCTCAGGAAGGAAGCCTACAATATAATTTGGTGACTATTCAGTGCTGTCCTGATGGTCCTTGGCACGCTTCATTGTCCATACTTTCATCCCACAAGCCTGTGGCTGCCAGCATAATGTGCCTCACTGTACAGGACTTCTGGCTGTTGAGTTTTATGTGTAGCCTTACAGAGGTTTTCTGTTTCCCATGGCATCATGGTAGTAAAGGTGAAAGCTGAATAGAATCACCTGTGAGTTTGGTCTTCCACCCAAACAGTCAGTAGTGTCAGCACTAGGGGATAGGGGAAGATACAGCTTTTAAGATTAAGTCAGAAAGTTTCCCATTCTCCATTGAAAGCAAAAGAGGTTTTTGAGAATGTAATTGCTCGTATGGATGTACTTACTTATTTTTTGTGGAAAGTAAGTGAAAGCAAAACCCCTGCTAACACATAGTGTTTTGCTATGAAAGATTGTCTCCATTTTACATTGTTTGGAGATGAGTTTTACCATGACTGACTACCACCTACACATCCAAACCACTCAGCTTTCTGTTATCTTTAAATTAGCTTCCTCCAATAGATAATAGTTTTTATCTTCTTAAAATTAAACTGTCTGAAAAAGTTCTGCCGTTCTGGTTTAATATTGTACTATGTTGTGGTTGGAGAGACACATGTTGCCTTCAGAGGAGATGGAAGTAAACCATCCTGTCTGACTATCTGGGCCCATTGTTCCAGTTACGGTGTTATGTTTCCTCCTTGCAGCTGGACTAAGGGTAAATTCCTCTCCTTTCAACTGACACTCACAGCTGCTTCATAGGCTGCCATGGAGGTATATTTTTGCAGTGTGAGGTATTTGCTACTGTGCAGCAACTCATATTTGCTTTATAATAGCAGGTTTCAATTGTGAGTTTCTAGGATCAAAGCTGAAAATAAAACCACTTTTATGCTCATATGTAAATAAAGAAGATTTTTAGTTAGGTTGAAATATTTATTAATCTACACTGAGGAACTGGTTTGGAAGAAGATGAATTCTTTTTCCAAATACACCTGAATCTGATGAAAGGGTATGAATTGGAAATTATTTTATCATACAAAATATGACTGATTTTTAATCTTCTTGTTTGGTCTTATCCCTGAAATTGCAGGACATGATGGTAAGACTGTCCCAGTCAGTCAGGGTCCAAACTGTATCTATTGTGTTATCCTGTGATCCAGGATGAATCCTATTCCTGTGTTAAAAGTGTAAGTTTATGGCAGTTTAGGATTAGTATTTCTAAACCAAAGTGGGATAATGTAATGGTATAGGGTAGTTTGATATTAAGTATTGAAAATATGCCTTTTTACAGATGTGCTCAGTAAAATTGGGAGTCCAAGTTCAAAAGTTCCAGAAACGCACAGAACTCAGATTTCTGTATAAAAAGCTTTATTATAGTTTGATTAAGAGTCATTAAGGGACTGTGTACCATTTGTTTTAGTGATACTGCTCTCAGCATTACTGTCCACCATTGTCAATATTTAACTTGTCTGAAAGTAAATTATCTTGTCAAAACAGTAGTAGAAGGAAACACAAACCAAGATGAAACAACAAGTATTTTTTTACAGTTGTCAGTGCTGATTATAGTCAGAATAGAATGGAAGAGGAATTGGCAGGAGAATTATCAAATAACATACTTAAAATTATATTAGCACTTTATTTTGCCTTATTAGCATTCTCAAATTTTTATTTCTCAGTGAAAAGCTCCCTGTAAGCAATTAAATGTGAGTAGTCTGTCTTGAATCCGCTCAAATATGTAAGATCAAATAAAAAACTTTTAATGTTCCCAAACAACTTTTTCTTACTATAAGGAATAATTGAGGAGAGGTTAATTAAGTGTCTAAGTAGTTAAATCCTGTTACAGATGACCACTTTGGCTTCAGTTCTGCAGAAAGTTGTGTGATCATTTTCTAGTATTAACCACACATGATTTAATTAGGTGTTCTCCTCTGATTGCAGATTGTTTTAAACTTCACCACCATGGACCTTTACAAGAGCAGTCTCTGTTGGTACGACTATATTGAAGTAAGAGATGGCTACTGGAGAAAATCACCTCTGCTTGGTATGCAACTGTTGAATGCTGCACTGTCCATAGTTACCATACTCATTGAGTTCAATGGACTTGCTTGCTGTTGAACCCACAACAAACCTCTTGGTTTTCAGGTGTCTAGAATATATCTAAACTAGGGGATGGGCAAAAACTCTAAATGGCCTCAAATAAGTCGTTTATTTGACTTCAAGCCTCAAGCCTTCCTTTCATTGCAGCTAGCTGTTACTCAGCTGCATGTGTGGAAAGATGAAAACTACAAAACGTGCAACTTTTTGCTTTGCTTACAGGTATTGAAATATGAAGTTGCCATAGTTTTGTTCACAGAAATGGGGAAATAGTATACAGACAAATCTGTAGAGCATGTGGTGGGAAATCCATAGAGCACGTGATGAGCACGTGCACTGTGGTTGAGAGCACCCATTGTAGAGTTGTACTAATGATCTCTGTTCCTGTACTTTTAATATTATGAATAGAAGATTACTTCTATTTTTCTTTGCATGTCCTTCCCTGCTCTCGCAGAGAAAAGACATGCAAAGCAATAATGAATTAAATCTTAGAGTTGCAACTAATATGCAGGAAGCTGCAGCCATCCTTTTCTTAATTCAGAGGGTTGGTGGGGAGATTTCACACCCCATAATGCCACTGCCCAATCCAGAGGCTTCATTTGATATTCCGTGATCTTCTCTGATTGAAACTGGGGATTTCAGACCATAGGAAACATGAAAGTCTCCAACTTCTTGGGTCAGTTTTGTGGTTGTTTTTAGAATGAAGACTAAAACTATTTGTTAGCGTCCTAAGAGCCACAATTTAAAAACAGCAAAAAAGAAAGAAAAGGAAGCAGATACAGAGGACAGGTTTTTAACAGTAGTGCCTGTTTTCTTGGCGTTAAAAAGAAAAGAAAAAAGGAACAAGACCAGGCAGTAATTACCCTTTTCTCCTGTTCCCTTCTCTATCACCTAAACAAACAGAAATTTCACCTACCTAGGCTAAATTTAAGAGGATAATATAGTCTAGGGTCATTTGGATGTTAGTTTTTAAATCTCTTCTGTCCTTAGACACAATGAGCGGTATTACTGTGACTGAGATTATGTTCCTCTCTTAAGATTAGTACTCACTTTTCCCTTCCAAAATGCCCACGTTTATATGTATAGAAACAATCTATTACAATATTTTTTCTACTTAATTCCACTAAAGTTTTATACTTAGACTTATGAGCCTGACTGCAATGAAAAGAAGTACTGAAAGCTTTATAATAAAATCTTTGTGTATTAGGTCCTGATCTGCAGAAACACATGTGCTTAACCATAAGCATGTGAATAGTTCCACTGAGTTGGTTATGCTACTCCTGTTTATAATGTTAAACACTTGTATAAATGTTTGCAGCATTTGGCTTCAGAGGCAGCAGAAAATGCAGTTACTGGTTGCATGTTTTTAGGCAGGTTTTGTGGTGACAAACTGCCAGAAGTCCTTGCATCCTCCGACAGCAGGATGTGGATCGAGTTCCGTAGCAGCAGCAACTGGGTTGGGAAAGGTTTTGCAGCAGTTTATGAAGGTAAGCCTCTTACAGCATTAAAAATGACTTGATTATGGAAGAAAAATATTAACCGGATACCTTTGGATATTTAAAAAAAAAAAAAAGTCAGAAATAACCTAAAATGAAAGCAGTATGTTATTACTAAAAGAGACAGTAGGTGTTAACTTACTAGACAGAACATTTTGAAACTCTTCCTGTGATCAAATTTCAGATGACCTCTTTTCCAGGGACATCACTGATAATATTTATAAGCATTTTTTACCAGTTGTTTAATTAAATAAATGTGCATGTTCTTGTGCTTAGTGTGTGGAAAGATTTCTTTGAGTAGTTTCTGTTTATTCTTTAGAAAAATATGATTTAAGTTTTCCATATGGTCTGGGATTACTTAATAGAGACACTCCCCCACACTGAGTATATTAGCAAGTCAACATTCACCTGTTTAAAACAGAGCCTGTTTTCTTAAATATTGAATCTAAGGTAGTAAACTCTATGATTTAGTTGATATTCACAGATCTTTACATGATTATCAGTATGGACCCTGACAAGCACATTTACTTTTCATGAAAATATTTTTTATTTATATTAGTTGTTTCTTCAAATTCAGTGTAAGCTTGAAGTGATAAACTGTGGGTTAAAATGCATGGTTCATTATAAAATATGAGATTTCAGTCTCGTTTGTCTCTTTCTAAAGGTTAATAAATATTAATGAAGGATGTTTATTAAATATGTTTCAAGGGCGAACAAGAAGTAAAATTTAATTATTTTGACCTTTTAAATATATTCTGTAAAATGTATAGATTGAGATTATCTGTGACTCCAAAGTCTTCCTGGACACTGTAGACATGTTTAGAGCTATTAGAAATGCTGAATTATATTCGCTAACTGAAATACGTATAGTGGTTTAAATGGATTGTGTTTTCAATAATTTGTCCTTGGTAGTCTTTTTAAGTCTTCTCCAGAGTAATCTTATCATTATTTTTAAAGAGGGGAGCATAAAATATCAGTTTTGGGGTGGGGAATAGAAAATGTCATTACTGACAATAAGAATTTTATGCTTTTGTCAGCTATCTGTGGAGGTGAAATCCACAAAAATGAAGGCCAGATCCAATCTCCCAATTATCCTGATGACTACAGACCAATGAAAGAATGTGTGTGGAAAATAACAGTGTCAGAAAACTACAATGTAGGATTAACCTTTCAAGCATTTGAGGTAAAGGCTTTTGACTGATCTCAGAAAAGCATCTGGTAGATAAGTGACAGTGACATTTAAGGGAATCCTCATTAAACCTGTGAATGAATTTAAGAATTCTCTATGAAAAATAAGCTCCAGAATCCAATTCTATTCTCCATGAAACCTTCCTTGCTGCAGAAATTTTCAAGAAGATTAAAGGTTTTTCATGTTTTCTATGCTATTTGAATGAGAATGTTTAAAGTGTTGACAAGGGTCGCAGTTTAGCAAATACATAATCCAGTTCTGTTAAATAATTGCGATTTTTTTTCTTTGCTAAATCTTACTGTTAAAAAAGAATGTCTATCTGGAAAGAAACCAGTGTGGTTTTTGGCTTCTGTTTTGAGAAGAAAGAAAAAAAAAAAAAGTTTTCAGTTTACAAACCTATATTTAGAGAGGGAAGAAAAAAGCCATGGTGAGTCATACTTGCATCTCTTTAGTGTACATATGTCTGTGTATAACATTGCTAAACAGTGGTAAACTATTGTATAACAAAGAAAAATTATATTTCATACGTCTTTTTTATGCATAGATGATATACTGGCTTGAAGTTTGTAGATAAATTTAGTAACGTACTTTGAGTTCACTTGTTTTATTTGAATATGCTTCAGCAGTAATGACATGAAGAATACTCTTTTTTAAAATCTAATCTTTTTGGCTTTACGGTGCACACAGAAATAAACACAGGTATAGTAAATATGAATATAATTTCCAACCTATAATTTTAGTCTTCAGGGGTATGGCACATTTTTGCTATGATTGATTAAAAGTCTGAGCAAGATATAACAAGGGTTTGGGACTTCATCAGTAATTATGAGTATAAACAATGGAAATTTTAATAATTTCACAGATTCTAATTCATTTTCCCTTTTTTGTATCCTGAATTAATGTTGGGTCTAGTGCAGACAAGATCAGCTCTTCCTGCCCAAAGAGTTTTCCAAATGCCATTCAGACTCTCCATGGCCTGGCTCAAGATTACTTAACATAGTATGTCAGTCTCTCTTTTTAAGCACTGTTGCAAATGAACAATGTTTTTGGTAACTTTATATAATTTACTGACTTGATGCGGAGCTTTTCTAGTCTGCCATTGGTGCTCAGTATTTTTTAGTGTGATTCCAAGAAAAATGGCACTATGCCTCTGCATAAGAGACTTGCCACAGTATTTGATATCCATGCAGATACTCAGCGTTAGTCTACGTGGACAGTACGTTATTGCTTGAACTGACCCCAGTTCAATATCACTTCTGGGAGAATCAAACTTCCATCTCATCTTTCAGGACCTTTTTCTAATCACCAAGTTATGGACTATTTGCAAGTGTGAAGATGGCATGTTCATGCCTCACCACATAGAAAATAATTAGAAGCAAAGGACCAGCAAATGAGAGCACAATTTAGCAGGCTAGTGGTTAAGGCTGTAAGAAGAAATGTCCAGGTTTTCCCCCAGACTATTTAGTATTATGGCACTCTCTAGAGGTGAAACATGTGGACTGACACCTCATAAGAAGAAAGAGGAAATTGAGCAGAAGTATAGTTGAGTGGTAGTCTCAAGTTAGTGCCTCTGCTTAGATATGTTTTGAAAGAAAGGGGCGGGGGGGGGGAAGTTCCAATAGTAGGGACTTGAAAGGTACATACTTTTCCAGCGAGAGTCTGAGCTGGGATTCCAGAGTGACAAGATGCCCTTGAGCACCAAATGAGGTGCCCCAGAAAGGCATAAGACTGCTGTTATATCTCTCTTCGCGGTGTTTCTTACTGGCTCGTCCACAGGACTCCCTGCTGAGAGTGAGAGTTGCTTTGGAAACTGCTCTGAAGTGCCTTGCCTAGACTTTCACCATTGGGTCTGATTTCCATTTCAGGTCCAAGCGCCTGAACGTAGGTGTTTTGTTTTTTGATACTAAGTCCCTCTCTGGACTGAATCCTTGGTGCACTGCCCAGTAAAATAAAAAGTTGTTTAAAAATCACAGTTCTTCGTGCCAGCTGAAATCAAAAAAAGTAAATGTCAGGCCAAAGAGTTATTGCAGCGTGTTCATGAGAAAATTACTTCTCTGTCCTTTGAAAGGTACAGTTAAGTAAGAGGAATTCTCATTATCCATATGTAATTCTAGAAAAAATAACTGTATAAATAACCTTCACTCTGAAATGAAAGCATTAGGGAAGCTGAGAATTTCAAACTGTATCAATGAGTCATCTTGTTTTGCCTGCTGTGGGCAACGCATTTTCCATTGAGTGTGGGATTACCCTTTCTTATTTGTCTGCCTGATGGGCAGCTACCCTTTCCAGTATTTAGATGACAGCAGAGATGTTGGGACTGGTAACTCCATCTTTTGGCTTCATTGTTATAATCATCTTTATTATATTGTTCTTTGAAAATTAGCAGTTCTTTAATTTTTTTTTTTTTTTTAAAGAACTTTTGTTGGCACGCAGTCTCACCAGCTAAGGAATCCAGAGGATTTGTAGAGCTGAGCCATATTAATCTTCCTCATTTGAGTGGCCCTGTTAATCTTTGTGCAGATAGTGTTCATTTAAATTATTTTTACATAACTCAGGGAATAAAATTTATCTGATCTTCTGATTCCACTAGGCATAAATCCCACCTTTTATGACTCAAGTCTATGACTTGAGTTGGATATGTTTACCTGTACTGGAATTTGACTCTATCAACAAATAAACAATGACAAAAAGTAATTGGAAGACTTCTCCTGAAATATGATTGCTGCCGGATTTGCTCTTCACAGCCTCTTCTCTTCTCTTTTCTTTTCTTTTTT